TAATCCCTTTTCGTCAATTCTTTGAACATTTTCGCAATATTTTGCCAATATTCTTTTTTGAAATAGTGGTTAGTTTATTTCCGATTTAAATTTCTGTAATACATAATATAACTTCCTTATCCCACAAAGCTGACAGACCACCTTCATTCATTTTAGCCATGTTGGAACTACATGAAGAATTTATGGTTAAAAAGAGCAACATAACATATAATATCGTGATAAACCATTAAAAAAACATAAGCCTCATATATGCTTCAGTAGTTCCCTCAATATTAAAAAAACAAAAAAGGAAAGAATTGAAAAAAAAAACTTAAAATGTCTACCTCATATATGATTCGGTAGTTCCCTCAATATATGCCTAAATAATTGTCTCAACATATGGTTGAGGCTTAAACATAAGCCTTATACATACTACATTTCTGAATTCGAGATAAGCATATAAACACATGAGAATCGGATGGTATATATTTAAATTCGACAAACACACCAGAATTCTATGACATGCAATTTTAAGTGTAGGTCCTGGACATGTAGAAACCAAACCAACAACAAGAAAACCTAGAAACTGGGCAAGGTAGATAGCAACCAGGCTAGGAAACCCAGTAAGGAAATCGAGCAACACAGTCAGAAAACTGAGCAACTAGTAAGGAAATCGAGCAATCTAGTAAAAAAAACCACAAAAGAAATTTCAAGCAATGTATCAAAGTGGCGATGTATTACCACTCATATGCCTTGAAAATCAAAAGCCCCTGCCACTAATAAACAACTCTGCCACAATGAACAACATATACCATCCTTTGAACACCTTGGTGTCATAATCAAATGAACATATACCATCCTTTTAACACCTTGGTGTGATAAAGCAGTAAATTATGTGATGTGATACCATTAAACAACTACACACTAAATAGAGGATAACCAACTTATGACATTCATATGACTATTCAATGTTTTATTTGCTTTTCCAATGCAATAATAGTGGTTAAGACACATGTACTACAAACTACAGGTTCAAATGGTTAACTATTTGAACAACATGACAATTTCAGCAAATTAAAGATAAACCACAATTGACTTTCTATTATGTAATAGAAGGGAGGCAGAAAAAAAATAACGTTGATAAGACTTATCGAAAGAATTTTGCAATTTTTAAACCTCAATAAGTGTCATAGGGAAGGGAAATTCAAAATGTTGTCCTCAAATACTTCAGATATGATAATAGTTTCGTCAATATATGCCTGCATATCTGTCTCAATATATATATATTATATATATATATATGCATCATGAATAATATATCAGAGCAAAAGCTAGTCTCACAAAATAATCATTCTTCACCACTGCATCAATCCTCAAATATACAATATAATTGTTACATACAATATAATTGTACTGATCTTTAGCCTTTAGCATAGATCTTTTTCATAGGTTACATACAATATAATTGTATAGAAAATATAAACAAGATTTTTCTTTATGAGAGGATTAATTAATGCTTCTCCACCGTACCAACCCTCAAAATATTGCATGTGTATAGTTGGTACAATGATGCAACGAGAGAATCAAGCTTTTCCACTCTTGGTAAAATAATGTCACGAAAGAACCATAAACCTGTCTATGGAAATCATCAATACCACAAGCTAAAACAATGCAAAGCTTGTGATAAACATCATAGTCAAAATTCAATGATAACAATAGCGCTTTTCCTTCAATAAATTTATGATCCAGATTAGCACCATGGGATTGGACCCTCTACAGTCAAGATTTAACTACACAAATCTCCAGTCAAGAAACAATTCCAACTGAAGTAGAAATATATCCTAAGAAGATGGCCGCAACACATTAATACCTACATGAATTAGTTCCAATGCAATTACATGAACGTTGAGACGGGTAATTTGGGTGAAAGACAGTAAAAACAACCTTAAATATATATAAACTGCTCCCACAACTATTCAAAAAACAATGCTAACAAAAGTTTTTACTCTTCTTGAAGAGTGTTAGAACAGCTGTATTTGATTCATAAATTCTCATCCAGTGACAACATTACAATCTCTTTTTTGAATTCTGGTAAAATAAATGGGCTTTCCTGATCCACATAACAAGCCATCAATACAGTCCTTGACACAAAATGCCATAGCAACAGATGAAAGATAAAAGGGGAATATTTATGATCTCCAAAGCATGCCAACCGTAAGAATCAAAAAGGATCACTGCGACAATTCTAATTCTCACTGAAAGTAACCACTTCCAATAGTTATACCAACATTCCCGAGCAACAATCACAATGGCAAAAATTTTCTTCGAACTACTTATACCAACATTGTCGAGTAAATTGTTAATGTTCGAAGTATGAAAAACCAAATAGCTACGCAGTAGTTATACCAACATTCCCGGGCAAAATAATGAAACCTCACTGAAAATTCATAAATCTTGGAAAAAAAAAATTAAGAGAATAGCATGCTTGCAACTCCACCTCCGAAAACAAACAAACAGAGAAATCGGACTTGCCATATGTTCAGGATGAAGGAGCAGAAGGAAGAAGGAAGAACGGGGAGGGTGAAGAAGTAGAAGGAATTGATACTGATAACATACCTCATATGATGCAATCACGGTGAGGGTGAAGGAGCAAAAGGCAGATTAGAGAAGGAGAGGGCGAGGGAGAGCGGAGAAGGGCAAGGGAGGAATTCTTCACCCTAACGTGAGTCGCGAACGCAGGACGCGGGGTCTATCCCACGGCGAGGCCTATTAACGAATTTGGGAAGTGTGTATCGGGACAACACCAAAACGCAGCGCGAACGCATTTTCAACACGACGACGACATTTTCAAAACGCCGCTGCACCCGAATAAGCTGCCCCAAACGGGACCTGAGTCTGACATGAAACATTTGACCAATTGATCCTCGGCTGCCTTGGCAAGGACTAAGCTTCTCTTCACTCACCTCATAAACAATGTCTAGCCACCGAGCTTAAGTTCGTTCACTTGGTCTGCCTAAGAACTGACCTTCATGACAAATGCATCCCACTAGAGCCCTACAATCCCATAGTGAAGAGCGATGGCTTCTTCAAGCATTTCCTCTAGTCAGGCCTATAAATCTTGGCCGTTACGAGATAGGATGGCCTCTATTTCTGCTAGACGACATGCTAGGGCCCTAAGCAACAACCAAAATGACTCAAGAGTCTCGCCCCGAATCACATCACGTCCAGCCAAATGACTAACCAAATCCTCTTCACCGCCGATGAGTTCTCCAAGAGCCAAAACTGTCCACAAGATCGAACCACCGATGCCAGCCGATAATTGTCAAGCGCAGGGATCTGCATCTACCAAACGAAGAACCATCAACAAGCATCAAACAGAAGGAAAAAGGATAAGTTAAAGGAAAAAAAGATAACAGTTTACCTAATATCTCCAATTCACTTCAGACCATGTAGCTCTTCTGCCAACCCTATACCGTCGAATAGAGAGTCATTACCACCAACTTGTTGAATATTGGGCAAGAGGGAGATATTCACAACAATTGGCTGGAAGTGGACTTTGAAGGGAGCCCTCGTGGATGGATTGACCGCTGTAACCGCCTGGTCAACAAACTTGGGTAAAGCACCCCCACCCCCAGTGCATCGAGAGTCGAATCTGATGACTCCACCTCGCATCTTTAATCTATCTTGACCTCTTCACCAATTTCTTTCTCTACAGTAAGCCCTCAGCAGGGCGCAATCTGACCTCAAAAGCGGCTAGCATCCTGGCCTTATCTAAGGGTCTTATCATGAAGTCAGACCCCTTCTCCATAATGAAGCTATGAGCAACTGATGAAGATCTAAAAAAGGAGCAAATTCACAATGATTCCTATATATGGCAATCATTGACATAATAGTCTAGCAAGTTTATTTATGATGTTAATAAATGAATGCTGATATGAGATTGTCTTCTTAAAAAAATTTCTTGTCCTTATCGCGGATGTCACTATCTAGAAGAAAAAAATTTGAAAAACTTCATATGTACGTCAAAAATGTGCTAGCACGAATCACGAAGTCATCTCACAAACGAATTAAAAGGTGTGTGCTCATATGACCAATCATAGATGGTTCCAGACCATATGCTCAACCGGCCAGTTCCCCTTATCGTAGGGACGGGGCTCCCCTAACTGATGAAAAAGGATCACCCTTCAAGAATCCAATTGATCAAGCCCGTTCGGATGAGCCCGTCACCTCCCAACATATCGTGAAGAGGAAACAAACCCTTCAACTCCAAAACGGCTAATGCAGATTATTAGCAAATAATCATTCGACCACCCAACCATGCGGCCGCGTTGTTTTATAGCCACCCATCCTCTCGATTGCCTAGCCTTATAACCACCTAGCTCTATAACCTCCAAGCCCGAAGGTCACTGTCCGACCCCATCCTACGACACCCTCGATGTATCTTTATATTTTAGGAGCACAATATGTAATTCTTTATTGACTCATTCTTACACATAGGGAGTCCATTTCATGAATAAAGATTACGCAATTCTACTATTCAAGGCTGTGTCATTGCCTTCTCTCTCTCCATCTCTCTCTCTCTATCCTTCAACATTCTTTCTCAAACAGATATCCCAGGCAAATTTAGATTCAAAACGTTTTGATGGATATAAGTATTTAAACGTAACTTCCAACTATATCCATCGAAATATTAGATAAAAAATTCACATATCTTTAAAAGAGGCAACCGAATGGAACATGAAAGTAAAGCAAATACACCAAATTTATGTGAAACTAAACAAGGAAATAAAAAAAAATGTCGCAGCTCTACCCTTCAGCTATAATTTGATTCCACAGAACTTATGTTGGCACTCTGCTGTAAGTTTTACAATAAATACAATATAATACCTAAAAAAAATCTATCAAAAATATATTTAATGCATCTATTAAAAAAAAAAACTCAACAGCTTCAAAATCTAATAAAAACTCATCCAGAATATCTTATCGTGAGACACTTCAGAAACATTGTTGGAGAATGAGTACGTGAACAATTTATAATATTATTATTCATATCACAATTTTCCAGTAACCTCAACCATCATATAACATGATTATTAATTTCAAAACATAAGAAAATAATTTTACAGCCACATAATTCACAACAAAATGCATCAGCATAAACAAACACACAAACTCTAATGCTTTCTGCAACGCTACAGAAAAACGAGATGCATAAAGGGCAGTTGCTACCTGCCGTCATCTTTCACAGAATCGAGCATCTATTTAATCCAAGAGACCCGAAGATTCTTCTACCTGAAGGCCATAGGCGAGTGAGAAATCCTAATTTTTCTGGTTCAACAGGCTCACCCGCAGCAACGCTGCTTTCTCGGCCCTCTTGGCTGTCCTCCGGGTCAGCCAACTTCCCATCCGAATTCTGCGTTTCTATCCCCTCGTTATCTGTAGAAATGTTTACAGCGCCAGAAATCTCTCCAGGTTTCTTATCAAATAGCCCTTTAAACTGTTTCCTGGCCTTCCTCTCCGCTTCCTGTATAGACTCGCAAGAGAGAAGAGGCACGTGCATTAACATAAAAAAGGTAGGGAAATTTACATAAGATGCAAAATTCTAATGAATTTATATATTAATACCTAAAGTTTTGATATTTATCTTTATAAAACTTGGGTGCAATAAATCTATGGATAAAAGGGTGCATTTTATTTTTAAGAAGATGGCGGTGTAAAATTTTTATGATGTTAAGAATTTGAGGGTTATGAATGTAAATGCCTCAATAGATTATATGTACTAGCGGGCGTGCGTGCGTGCGGGTGGGATTAATACAAAACTATTTTTTCCCATTTGGTTGCTTGACAATAAAAGGCACGTGTCTTCATCACTTTGTATGTGAAAAGGAAGTCATCAAATATATGGATTTGAAAGGTACTTGAAGAGTTTGAAATGAATCTGGAGTATAATAATAAGTAATATTTCAAAACATGATTTCAACCTTCAAGAAATCAATTGAGCTCTTCGATCCCAGCCTTGAGCTATGATGCAATTGTTAACAAAATAAAAGCTGCTGCTACTGTACCCCTACAGCGGCCACAACTCCAGCGCTCTTCCCTCTGAACCGTTTATCCAAAATTTCCTAGCTAATCTCAGCGTTCAATAATTTGTCACTGCTTAATGTACGCCATTATGTATATATATTTACATGTTATGGAAAGTAATAAATTAGAAAGCTTTTATATTAAGAAGATTGATATTATGTATCTAATTAGAGGAGAACTAATCATAGGATTTTTCTATACTAGGAATATTCCTAATCTATACAGATGGGAGCGTGCATAAATATCTAACATATGTGTTCAATTATGAATAAAAAAATTTGCTTCCCTTCACATGGTATCAGAGCCTTCGCCTACTTCGCCTTCATCCTACGATAAGGTTAGCTTGTCTTCCTTGGCTTCGTCTATGTAGCTTATCTTCGCCGACGGTGCGCTTCTTCGATCAGTGTCATCTGCTTCATCGTTCGACGTAGTTTGCTCTGTTGATCTGTGCAATATGTTTCATAGATTAGCCTCGACTGCTCCAGTTTGTCAGATTTTGACCGCCTCAGCTGCATCTGCACCGAGGAGGAACGCTCGGTTCGTCTGGAGAAGACGAAACTAAAAAGGAATCATGGTTTTGAGCTGCAATTTATGGATTTCTTTGACTCGATCGCCTTTGTCGCAGTTTCGAATGGTTGTCTACTCATAGCCCTCGCCCCAGTGAACCATTGTTGCTATCTTTTCTTCGAACTGATCGGCTTGGTATCAGAAGCAGGGTTTCCAGAGTTGACGATCGAGTTAGCTTACTGTCTACAAGCAAAGCCGAACTGAATTGTTGGGTTTAAGAATTGTTGAGCCGGCTCACTGTCTCTTTAATTCTCAATCGAATTGGTGAATTGTTTGATTTTCAGAGACAGGTTGAGTTCCACCATTTTTGTCCAGTAATTACTTTGGTATCGTCTCCTCAGTGCCATTCAGAAACAATTTAGCTTCCAGCATTGCCCAAACTAAACAAAATCACAACATCACTGAGATTCATCTATTCAGTCTCGTTGAGTATTGTCTGGCAATCATAATTGTTAGACAAAAACATCTCATCACAAAATTGATTTTATCCATGGCTAAAATTAGTAATGAATAGCTAAACGGCATCAATTACTTTTATTGGAATAAAAATGTGAGACTACATAAGGAGTATTTCTCAAGAAAGTCGCCTCACCTCAGTATTAATCCCCTAGTCGAGACTGTTCTGAATTATTCTGTATGGATGAGAGTTGATGCCCATTTCTTGATGCAAATACAAAATTCTATTAAATCTCATTAATCTAATCATCTCACTCATTATGTTAAAGATGAGATGAAGGAATTAGCATTTGTGTTTTCAGGGAAGAAAATATTTCTCGAATTTTTCATGTTTGCAAATAGTTCTATCAAGCTAGACAGCATGTTCAATCACTTAACAAATATCACATGCACTTTAAAAATGTTTATAAAGAATTGAATGCATAATTGTCCTTCAGTACTAACGTTTGGTTTCAACAGGCTCAAAGAGAACAAACGGCTATTATAAGTTTTCTAGTAGGATCAACAGTATGAGGGTGTCAAATCAAAGATCCTATCTGATCATGGAGTTACTACTTTAAGGGAAGTCTATACTAGAATGTTGCGAACTATTTCAAGTTCTCAAATTTAATCAGTATAAAAACTTAGAGCTCTGGCTAGTCAGAAAAATACATACATCAGTAAACCTCAGTCTCGGGGTAAATATAGTGGAAGTCTAAATTCTGAAAATCAAGACTAAAATAATTCGCTACTACTCCCATGAACTTGATCATGCGAAGAGAATATGTCAGAAGTTTCTCAAGAAGAATCTGAAAGGCTCTAAATCATAATATCCTCACATGGTCACTACTAATGAAGCCTCCCAAGGTCAGAATTTATAGATTTCTACAGAAAAATATGCTTAATTCGTCTAGTTTCAGGAAGCATCTAAGAAATCTACATTAATTATTGCAAACTCAAAAACCAACTCCAAACTCAAAATATAATAAAATTAAGCTGAAAATATAAAAATTGACTAGTTTAAAGCTCATCTGACGTTTCATAGAAAAATTTCAATTTTTTCTCCTAGGATGAGGCTCACACTCAGACCTCAATTTTTTTATAAGTGGCCCACCTTATTGACATGCCTAAAAATGTGTCACTTTTTTATATACATTTTATGTTAATTTTTAATAATATTACACTTTAAAGAAAAATATTTTAAGTGCTTTTTGTTTTAGTACAAGAAATAGAGTTTTTGAGAAAAAAAAGCAAAAATTGAACTGGCGGCTAGGTGCCTAAGCGCCAGACCCAGTACATGAAAATAAAGAACCCGGCACCATGGCGTAAAAATCCGCCGCCTAGGCGTCAGGCAGTTATTTTAAGCTTCTAGATGACTGACGCCTAGGCGCCATAATCAATTTTTCTTAAAATTCAATGTATTTAGACGAATTTTAAAGGGGCATCTGAAATGACTCTTGGGGTATTTGAGGATTATATTAAATGAGGCTTAGTGTCTATTCAAAAAGAGGAGGAGAAGAAGAAAAGAGGTGGAAAGTGTGTGAGTATGTGTGAGTGTGTGTGCGTGTGGGAGGGGAAGTGTGGTTTGGAGTCTTTGTGACTTTTGGGACTTTAGAGAGAATTGTAAGGGCATGTTTAGTGAGTAGTTTTTCTTACTCTTTCCTCTTATGATGTAGTGGCACGTGTAGAAAAATTTATTCTATGATAGAATAACTTTAATTTCCATGTGATGACTAATATCTTCGTTGTTTCATTGACATAACGTACTGGTCATAGACTATTGTAAAATCTATTGTAAGTTGAGACTAAAACTCCGAAGAGCAGTGACTTTACAACTTGAGTGCACTCACATTGTCCGGTTGGCTATAGTGAAATAGTTCAGGCGGCAAAGCAACTTTTAGAAGAAATATAATTGAAAATTTATTTCTATTAGGAGCTTCTAGATGACAATTGATGTAAGTGATTGGGTACATTACCAGAAGTTGTAAGGCTTTTTAACCACCTTCGCATCTCTACTAATTGTGAAACCTAATAGAATACTAAGCTTGGCATAAAATTATTACATAATTTTATCAATTTTTCTACTACGTATGTCATTATCTTCAATTCAAAAGGGAAGAGATTTTAATTATATCAGAACTTTCCAAAATTTAACCAGCCTCCGTAGATTAGGTTTTTATTTAATTTAGTTAATTTTAATTTTAGAGTAAATTAATATATTTTGGAAAATCAAACTTTTCAAAATTTACAAACCAATACCTAATAGTAGTACACTAGAATTTATGCTAAGGGATTTCTTACCTCACTTCTCTGTGGGATCGATACTCTGGGTTAAATAAAATCCTATAATAATTGAACGATACGTGCACTTGTGTTTATACCTGGTGAATAGTGATAAATCGTGAAAAATTAAGTTATTAAAGTTATAAAATAGATTTTTAAAATTATAATATTTAAAGCATAAATCACTAGGTATGTCGTTAGAGTAACGGTCAAGTTTTTTGCATCGTTGTCGGGGAAGCTACAACTTTAGGAGAATTTTAGTTGAACATGTAAGATATAGATTTAGAAAATGTAGTGTTATAATCTAGTGTGTTTAATTATTGTGTTTTTATTTTAAAAAAAATCCAAAATAACAAAAAAAAATTTGTGTGCTTAAGGTACTCAATATATGTCCTATCAGTTAAGTCTTTAGATTTATTGCATAGTGTAGGAGCTGCAGACCTTGAACCCTAAACCCTAAACTAAAGAGAACTGTTATGAGAATTATGAATCATAAAAGACATGAATTTATTATAGAAATGACGGACCAACAAGATAGTGAATATTCAGTTTTGGATTATGATACTAGTAGTTTTGATAGAATAAACCCCAAGAGGGTCGTGAATTTTCATGAAGCTGATATGCTGACTATTTTAACTTCTCAGTTTAAAGATATTGCGAGAAAGTTAGATCAATATGTAAAATTTATCATCCAGGAATCCCAGTTATTGAGGAAAAATCATTTAGACAATTAATTGAGACTGACTATTTTGAAACTAGCCCTTAGATACACAATCTGTATTATGATTATTACAACCATGTTGGGAGAATCATTCCAACTTTAACTGGAATACAATATTGGAGGAAGAAACCAATTGTGGGAAGATAATCAACTTAATCAGATATGTAATTGGAGTAATTGGGGCACTTTTAACATTGGGCTGTTTTTCCTCATACATTTAACTTCAACCCACAGAATGAGGAATTATTATTAGAAGAGGTTATTCAAATGGAGAGTCAGCTAGAAAGTCAATGAGCTGCAATAAGAAACATAGAAAACCAATTGGAGCAGATTGTTAACTCAATTAACAATCATCTTCCAAAAATTTACCTAGTGACTCTGAGATAACCTTAAGGAAAAGAATGGTGGGAAAGATGAAGCTTTTAAACTAAGAA